GGCTTACCGAACACTCATGTGGAAGCCATGGACACTTAAGAGTAGTCGGGGGGGAAAAACAGCCACATGCTGACTGCTGCAATCTGCGACACAAAGGAATAACTACTTTCCTGTTTTTATCTTCTCATCTGGTTTGCCCCTGTACTAAATGATGCTTCACATTAAGGACGTGCATTAAAGAAACATAATTTGTAGGTGTGTTTCACAGCTACGGAGAAGGGTGTGATGGGAATGTTGAGGGTTTATGTGGCTTGTCTTGAAAAATGGGTTTCCACCATATGCGGGCCATGTGTTCAAATCTGCTCCCTCCCCCAAATCCACGTAAAGCACAGAAAACATCTGATTTACATTTTTGATGAATGCAATGAATTCTGCCTCAGTTGACAGTATTCAAACGATTAAAGCTTTGGGCAGATTCAGTTACGATTGCTTTGACCTTTCAAGATATTATAAAAACACCAACCACGTGCTGAAAGTAGAGGGATGCTGTATATGATGTGCAGATCTGTGTAACTGAGAGTAGCCTTCTACCGATGTCTTGTACATCCAGTAATATTTATTAATCTGAAAATCATGCAAATATAAGAATCTATAACTTCTTCACAGACATGCTCTTTACATTTTAAGACTTTCTTTTATAGCTAGTCTCTGCTGCCCCCTACTGAAAGGATTACAGGCTTCTCTTTTACTGTATACTGAAAACATGTATTTTATGCTGACTGCCTTTGGAATTTAATACCAGCTTACAATAAAGTCATTTTGTAATTTTGTTTACATATTTGGTTGTTTATTTTAAATTTTAGCATATAACAATACTACTGACTGGAAAAACAGCCAAGTCTGGTGGGTATCGCATTAATTTTTTTTTAACTGCAATAAAAAAGTACAAACATTGAAAATGTTAAATTAAAAATAAAACTGCAGCTGGTCTGCTGGTAGTCTCCTCTGGTGGCTTTAGTCTGTGAGGTGGACCTCAGGAAAAAAACTACTGCTGATGCTTTTTGAGCTGGAGGTATTAAAAGTCCAGGTGACTGATTTTGAACACCCAGACTCCGCCTGCTCTCGAAGCCACTCTAATCTGTGCAGGGTCTTCTCCAAACAAAGCTCTAGAATTGATCTCCTGAAAGAAATTTAGACAACTTTTTTCATTTTGGTTTATTATTTTATTACTGTGATTTTTTTATTGAGGCAGCTGATTTAGTCTATCACAACACTGAGAAAAATGGAGCATACCTCTGTTGAGGCTCCTTTAAATTTTGAAAAACAGCTGTGTGTGTGACAGATTTGCTGTCATGCTTTGGGACACGTTTGATTTTCTGTAGGTACATGGCATCATAAACAAATGGTTCAGTGTCATGGGGAAGGACACTTCAGTAACATTAGCAGCCCTTCAAGCTTTTGTTGTTGTTTTCAGTTACTTCTTTTTTCATCACATCATTGGAGATTCTAAAACTCAAAAAAATTGATAAACTATGTTATATTTTGTCATGTTTCAGCTCTGTGCAGGCAGGAGAAGGACCCAAACACAAAACTCACCACACAGGAATTAAACTCAAAATAAAATACAACAAAACTAAACTGGGACATGGATAACGATCACACATGGAAACACAGCCATGAGGGAGACTACAACACTGAGAAAGAGAAACACAGGGCTTAAATATACTGAGGGATAACGAGGGAATGAGACACAGAAGGAGAGCACAGCTGGGAGTAATCAGGCTGGACGAGACAAGGGAAGCAAAACTAGAAACACTGACATGAGACACGGACCTTCAAAGTAAAACAGGAAACACACTGACTGAACTCTAGACATGTAAACTTAAAAGCAACTGGGGAGACAGAACATAGGAACCTGAAACATGGTACAGAAAGGCACAGTAGACACAACATGGAACACAGGGAAGCCATATTACAAAACCTAAGAAATAAACCTATGATAACCATAACTGAAACCTAGGAAAATAACAAACACAGTACAACAAAGGACTCAAAACATAAACCATAATATAAAAACACAAGAACTCAAAAAGCTGGGTCAGAAAGACCCAGAACCGTGACATATTTGTACCTGGACAGGTAAATAGAATGGCACATGAATGTGATGGAGGCAAATCGGGAAGCCCTTGTTGTGTGGCAAAAATGCATTTCAAATGTTAAAAGCCTACATCACAGTCATTAACTTGCATGAATGCCACGTCAACAGTGACTTAGAAAGAAAATACATCCAAGAGTTTTGGTTGATTTCTGTTTATTTTATGTTGTTGGCTGTGCAAATTAAGACTGTAGGTTTGGTTAGGGGTTACATTCAGTTTCACTTCAATTTAATTTTACTCACTAAATCAGGAGAACATTTGTCAAGCTGGGATAACCACATTTACTCAGGGCTTTCTTGACGTGATGTTCTTCTGTTTCCCTGGCCACTGTGTCTGTGGGGATGGTGTTTGCTCTGTGTTGTAGTGTCCTGATGACACCCAGTGGATGCTCCAGTGGATAATAAGAGTCAAAACTTAATACTGAACCTATGCATGGGTTAACAGTACAGCTGTAAGCTGTTTTATTAAAGATAAAAGCTGTAGCTTTTAAATATCTTAATGTGTCGGGCCACCAAGTTAATATGATCTTTGAATTGTGGTATGTCCTGAGATTTGATTTTCACCCAGGTGTCATCCACATACCTGAACGAATGACTTGGTGGTGTTCCAGGGTAGGATAACAGAGCCCTCTTTCCCACTTCTTCCATGTACAAGTTAGCCAAAATGGGTGAAACTGGGGAAGCCACGGCACACCCCTGTTTCTGCCTGTAGCATTGACCTTTGTATGTGAAATATGTGAAATGAAGACACAGTTCTAAGAGTAAAACACACTTGGTAGGTGCTGAGAGAGGTCCTGTTATCCCTCGTGAGCTACCTCCACTTCAGTGACTCAAACGCAGGTGAAGAGAAATGTTACATCATACGAGACCATTGTTTCACTTGCCTCCATAATGATGTTCTTGATGTGGTATTTAGAGCTGCCTACCAATGGGTTGAGGATCAAAAGTCAATCAAAAGGATCAAAAGCCAGAAACTTTGAGATGTTATAGGTGACCGAGTTGATCATACAGACAATTGGTCTTAAAGGTACACATTGTTTATATATCTTTGGTGAACCATACTTGATGTAGCTTCCCCCGGTTATAGCCTGTGTTATGAGGGCTGGTCAATAACATTGTCTTGTTCTAACTGCTACAGACAATCTATCACCCTCTTCCTGTAACCACTTCCTGGATCTCTTTTCAGGGGCTCATAAGTATTTTTATCACTGAGCAGTGACAGAATTTTCTCATGATAGTCTTTCTGGTTTAGCAAATCCGTGCACCTGCCCTAGCTTCCCGGAAAGATGAAAACGCTGTTGTTTTTACTAAGCAATGTGAGTGCCTTCCTCTCCTCCATGCAGAAGTTGGATGCTCAGCTGTTCATTAAAAGCTGGTTCTGTGCCTTCTGGGGGACTTTTTTTTTTTTTAAATAGTATGTTTATTGAGTTTTATATTACAGAACAAGCAAAGAATAGTAGTACAGTTAACATAAGATTTATATTAAACATCACAGTCCCCAAAATAAACAAATATAGATTAAAAAATAATAATAATAATAAAATAAAACAAAACCAATGCACAGCATGGGTAAAACAAACAAAGCAAGAAGAGAAACAACTAAAAACAAAAAAACTCAGCACCAAGTATCATTTTCTAAATTAATTCACTTCATAATGTCTCAGAAACTCAGCTAAAGGTAACCCTATTTCTTCAAAATCTACGCCCTTTCCTCTGATAATATAAGTATGTCGTTCCAATACAATATATGATGCCATCTCCTTTACCCACATATGACTTGAGGGTACATCCATTTTCTTCCATTACAAAGGTATTAACCACCTGGCTTGCAGGAGTCCAAAGTCAATTAATTTTAGCTGTCTGGAGCTAAAATCACAGTTCTTTGGATATATACCCAACACACACATTTTTGCTTCAACAGGTATATTTACGCCAACAATCTTTGATAGAGTTTGTGTGATTGACTTCCAGTTTTTACTACAGCTATCTGGAATGACAGGCGACCAGCGATTCAGTTTGACTGGGGTTATGTAACTTCTTATCAACCACTTATATTGGAGGAGTTTCATGGTTGTATTAATT